TCATAGTTCCCACGGAAGATGCCTGATAATGTCTTTTTTGGTCTGATTGGTTTTGTTTGTATTTTTGCTGAGTGCATGTGAAATAGTTTGATGTCAAAAGCTGCTTTTCCCAAAAACCCTGTCTTAGTCCGCTTGGGCGGCTAGGACAAAATACGGTAGACCTGGTGGCTTAACCCATAAACATTTATGTCTCACAGTAAGGCTGGGAAGTCCAAGATCAAGGTGCCAGCAGATGGGCATCTGTTAGGAACCCTCCTCCTGGTTTGAAGGCTGCTGCCTTCTTGCTGTGTTTGCACATGGCAGAGAGAGATGTCCTTCTTATAAGGGCACCAATCCCTTCATGGGGGCTCCACCCTCATGACCGCCTCCGAACCTCATTACCTTTTGAAGACCCCACCTTCAAGTACCATCGCTTTGGGGATTAGAGTTTCCACATATGAATTCTGGGGGCAGGGGACACAAATGTTCAGTCCACAGCCTATTTTGTAATCATAATAGTCTCTGAAATAAACATTGAGCATTCTGTTCAAAACAACCCTCTTTCGGGTACGAGTCCCATGCTTGGGACTGGGAGCTAGTTGGGAGGGAGGGATTCGGTGGTGGGGGAGACCCAGTCCCTGCACTTTGGTAGCTTACAGTCAGCCAGATAACCTGCATCTGGTCATCAGCGCCAGGATGGCCAGGGATGGGCAGGGACCAGGGTGTGCCCGGGGCCACGGGAAGAAGAGGCATCTTGGGGCAGGCTGTCCCTGCCGGCAGGCTCGGGCCAGGCTCTGTGACTGGCTCCGGCTGGGTCCCGAACGGACTTTGAAAATGTAGTCCTGGATGGGTGCCAAGGGAGAGCTAAGAAGCCTCTTCCTCCTGTTGGTTTGTTTATTGTCTTATTCAGGTCTTAAGGCTTTACAAGTCCCCAAATACTTGAAGTTTTATAATGTTTTGGATGATGCACGTGAATATGGAGCTGTGCTGTCCAAACAGTAGCTACCAGACACATAGGGCTACTTAAACTTATTTAAGTTAATCAAATACAGTACGATTTAAATGCCGTTTTTCCACTCCCATCACCCACATTTCATGTGCTTGGTAACTGTACATGGCAAGCTGCTACCACGCTGGACGGCACAGGCTAGAATGGTTCCGTCGTCACCCTCGAATGTTCTAGGGGATAGCTTTGGTGGAGAAAGTGACTTTTTAGCTACTAGTTTTCAGTGTTTTAATCTTAAAAGGTTAGCTACGTCTTAGCTTCTCTTGCTAACTTCCCTTTGGTCTCCTCTCAGATACTTTTTTTTTAAGACTTTATTTGTTTTTATTGAGAGAGAGAGAGAGAGAGCGAGCAAGCAGTGGGAGGGGCAGAGGGAGAGGGAGAGAATCTCTAGCAGGCTCTGCGATGAGTGTGGAGCCCCCTGGGGTCTCGATCTCATGACCCTGAGATCATGACCTGGACTGAAATCCAGGCTCAGTTGCTTCACCCACTGAGCCCCCCAGGTACCCCTCAGGTAATTTTCTGAGGATTCAGATCACTAGAGTGGATGCTGAGCCCCTAAAGATGTAGTGCCTCAGCCACTGTTACTCATTTCACCCGAGTGACCAGCTCTGCTTTTCTGTGCCCAGTTCCCCCCAACCCCCGGCCTTGTAATACTGTCCCTCTTGCCCCTCAAGTCTCTGTCAGAGAAAATGCAGAGGGCTTTCAGCCGGCCGGAAGGAAGGATCCCAAAGTAATAATGATCTTTTTGTACCTGGGGAGAGGAGGCCCTTGCTCAGGCTGGATCACCACGTCTGAAGCCTCCTCTGGGGTGGGGGTTGCAAAGGAAGCCAGGATATCTGGGACCCGGCTTTTCTTCATTTCGGCAGGAATGCTTTAAAACCCAGCACTGATCCTATGAGGAGGAGAGAACGTGGAGACAAGCTCCATCTGAGTTACAAACATGTAACTTACACGTTATTGTATTTTTCTTCCAGAGGAGTGCAAATCTCTTCCTTGCTCACTACTATGTTTATACTCTGATATTCCGGGAGCAGAAGGGGGACATCTTCGGTTTGACAGTTAATGCATCTTCCACAGTATTTTGTGGCCTTCTGGGAGCCCATGCTCGTGTCAGGCCCCCAAGACAGCGTGCAACGCCACTCACCACAGGGGATCAGTGCCCCTCCGCCACACCCCCTGGCCTCGCTGCCCCGGACAGGTTTTCCAGGGCACTCACTATATATGCAAGCCTCTGTGCCAAAGGCCAGAGCTGGCAGACCCAGGAGGAAAACCTCAGTGGGTGACCTCACTCACCAGTAACATCCCTCAAAGCTGACTGGCTCGCACACCTGGTTGCTGTGCTAGTAGTGGACCCAGAGAGAGGATAGCTTCTTGTCCTCCAGGTATGAAACCACTTACCCAGAACTTCGTGAAATGACTAGTTTTGCTGAAATAAAACCCTCGGTTTTACACAGAGATGACTTGTTGACGCATCCAACACCGACACACTTCCTGCTCCCTTCTGGGTCTTTAAATTCAGATGTTGGGGGTGCCTGGGTGGCTCATTCGTTAAGTGCCTGCCTTAGGCTCAGGTCATGATCCCAACGTCCTGGGATCAAGTCCCATATCGGTCTCCCTGCTCAGTGGGAAGTCTGCTTCTCCTTCTGCCTGCAGCTCCCCCTGCTTGTGTTCTCTCTCTCTGTCATAAACAAATAAAATCTTTAAAAATAAATAAATAAATTCAGATTTTGGCTTAGTAAGCATTCACGGAGACCCTCCTACATGTTGGCGCAGGGCTTGGAGCTAAGAGGGACCCAGAGTTGGTCAGCGAGGGCTGAGGGCCCCAAGATCTCAGAGTTCACAATGGAGAGGCTACCTGTATGCATCGACAAAGCAGACTGTCATCACCCTCTCGGGGAGGTGCCTCCAGACCAGAGAGCCATTGGGAAAGAAAACAGACTTGCCCAAGAGCCACCAGAGTCCTAGCGGGCAAAGTGTCTTCACAGCTTTGTTCCCCAGCAGGCTGAGCCAACCCCCTCACAGAGTGCCGGCCTCAAGCTTCCCTAAGGGTTTGAGTGGCCTCAGGAGCCGGCGTTTGCTAGACACGTGTGGGGAGAACCCACTCTTGCTGACCCAGAACCCTGCATCCCTCTGTCTCCTCAGCAGGCTCGGCAGACAGCAACCGTCTCTCATGGCCTCCATAAATGTCAGCCCCGGAAAAAAGCTCCAAAGAGGGTTTAGTCCGATTTCTCTCGTGTGTGGGAACTGAGGCCCCCAGAAGGGAAGCGGCTGCTTTTGGCTCCCACGCAGGAGGGACGCGCAGTCTGTCTTGGAGACCTCGGGGTTTGCATGACCGCTCTTAAGGGATACGAAGAAGAACAGGGACAGGGGCAGTACCCTGCTGCCTCCGCCACATTCCCAGAGATAATCTGTCAAGGGAAGGAAGGAGAAAAACAACGGCAAACAAGCCATCTATTCTTGTCTGCGCCATTTTCCCACGTCAGGAGAGACTGCAATGGAAAAATTTAGGTTTCTCCTTTCATGTTCCTTTCAGTGCCCACTCGACAGAACGCCTTTCATTCCCCCCTTTTCTTTGGCAGGATCCTGACCAAGGCTGTGGAAAAAGAATCTTTTAAGAACATATCTATCTATCTATCGATATACATTCAGCCCCTGACAGTGACATGGAACTGTAGAGCCTCTTAATTACCCAGGAAGTGACAAGGTCAAGAGGTGTCTGAAAGCTGCCTCGTGCTTCTGCGCACTGATTTCTCCCTATTGTCGCTGTTTCCGAAGCTGGAGTGGGGGGCCACGGAGCCTGCGTTTTGTCCACTGTTCGGACTTCTTCCTTTCTTCCTTTTTTTTTTTTTTTTTTTTTTAAATTTGAAAAGAAACTTCTAGCGCTTGGGGTATTGATTGACAATTCGTAAAAGCAGGATGTGTTTCAGGTTGGTTGACCAGTCATAAGGGCTACCTGGGAGCTTGGGGGAGGAGGTCAACTTCTTGGAGAGACACACTCCCCTGAGGCCCCTGTCCTCTGGCTACTCTCCCACTTTCTTCCTACTATCGTTGGGCTTTCTGGGAGAGAAGGACAAGGAAAGAAAAATGGGCCCACGCATCATCACTGGTTACTGTTACGACGAACGTGTAAGTCATGTTCTTCGTTCTTCATGAAGAGTTTTGGGGCAGCTTAGTGGTATTTTTTAAAGAAGTTGAGCTGAGGTTTTTGGCCATGGCCATCAAGACATGATTTTATAATACAAAAATAGAAGTGGCAGTGTCTCAGAAAACTTTGGATGGAAGTTTTAGAAGTTCCTGGGGAGTGTTGTTGACTTGTATTGGGGGATCAGAGAAGCCAGAGCCTTCTCTAGATAACTCAGAGGAATTGATAACGCACAGAGGCTTACCTGGGTACTTTGTCCTTCAGTAAAACTTATGAAAAAGGATTATATTGCCAGAGCAGAGAAACAGTTGATTTTTGGTCTGATAATACAGGGGTTCTTCCAAATGCTGTCATGTCCTAGTGGATATTAGACTTTCTTTCTTTCTTTCTTTTTTTTTTTTTTTAACTAAGAAAAGTCGGAGCCTACAGCATGCAGGTCTTCAAATCTTCCTTTTCCTTTTCAGGGGAGCTTATGTGTAAATACAACTCTGGAATACTCCATGGCTCACAGGAAGGGGTCAGGGGCATAGCATTTTTCCTGCTGTTGTATAAATGACACCTTGGAAAGTAAAGGCCCCGAATCTAATGCTGTTAAACACAAAAAGACTCTATAGTGAGAGAAATCTTATGCCTCGTCTGAGAGGTCTTGGATTTTCTTTCTAAACCTTCCTGCTTTTCATCAAGCTTCGAAACATACCTAGAAGAGATAAGACAGTCCATTGGCTCTAACTCTTAAGGCATAAAGGACCAAGTGAGAGGCTGGAAGTCAAGGTAGAGTTTTAGTCTCACTTCATTCGTGATCTTGTGCTAGCCACGCTCTCTCTGCAGACCTTCGTTTCCTCATCTTAGAAATGAGTGGTTGGACTGGTTAACCAGGGGCCCAAAGGTTCTGCTGGGACCCAAAGAGCAGAAACAAGAAATATATTGACATTTTCTTTAGAATGCCAGTAAAAGCTCATCAGGTTTCAGGTTAGGGACAAAGTGAAATATATTTGGCTTTTCATCATCTGTAAATATTGACTGCACAGGCCTTGGGGTTTGGCCTGAATTAAATATGCCCAGTGTGTTTTCTTGAGGTCAGAAATACAGTGTGGACCAAGAGACAAGACATAGAAGCTGCTGAATGACCACTGATCAGGTAAATATATTAACATGATGTAGACGCCCAAAAATGAGATGTCTCATAGCTCTGGGAAATGCTGCTGGCCTGCTATATGTTTATCCATTCAAATATTCGTATATAAATTCCATGCATCCATCCATATGCATTCATTCACTGATGAATCCATGCATGCGCGCGTGCGTGTGTCCGTCCATCCTTCCATCCATCCACTCGGTTATCCATTTATCCATCTACCCGTCAACTCATCAGTCTGCCCGTCTGTCTAGCTCACTCACCCATACACTAATAAGACATGACGATGAGTGCCATAATGAGGAGGTTTGGGAAAGTGTTGTGGGGTTCGGATGACGGGAGACATCCCTTCTAGCTGGAGACCTCAGAGAAGGCACCACGGAGGAGCTGGCACCTGAACCGAGTTTTGAAGGATGAGCAAAGTGTAAAGAAAGGAACGTGTGAGCAAAGGCCCAGAGATAGGGAAGTAGTGTGTTTGCCTGGGGACACAATGACTAGTCAAGAAAGAAGGTCAAAGAAGAAAGAAGACTGAAGAAACATTAACCTCGGGCATCACAAGGAGGCAATTAAGGAGGACTTTGGAACACGCCAGTTTTACAGTGGAGGGAATGGGAGGGAAGGAAGTGAAGGAGGCGAGAGGGGTGGGGAGCCCCTAGACATTGACTGGCAAGCTCTGTGATGGGAAAGGGTGTGAATAAAATATAGAAAGGCAAAAGGAAACTCCGTACATTGTGTGAAGCTTTACAAGTGCCTCACATTCAGTCTCTAAGAGTCCTACAAGTAACTCTTTATACGACTTTGAAAAGTCAAGGAGACTCTATGTTCCTAAGAGACTCATTAAGGAGTGGGAGGTGTGAAAGGAATTGTACTGTTTTTGTGTGAGACAAGAGCCTTTCTACCTTCCTGCACCTGGCCCTCTTAGGCTCTTTTTCTGGAACTGCAGAAATGGAAGGTCCAGTGGGTGGAGCCCACTGCTGCGCCCTGAGCTGGACGGTTGCCCCCTGGGTGCCGAGGACCGGAAGACAAGCAGACACCTGGGCTAGAATCCTGTCTCTGCGCCTCCTTAGGTGCGTTGACCCCGGAGAGTTCCGCGATCTCTTTCCAACGGTATCATTAAAATGTTTATGGTAAGGATTAGTTACAGTGAAATACGAAAAAAGAAACAGACAATAAACTTTAAGCCCCCCAAAGATGCTGACTCTTTCACAAATTATCTCATTTTATCGCTGGAACCCACTGGGGTAGGAATTGATTCTCCTACCTTGCGAATAAGAAACTGGAGTCCAGAGAGTTTGAGTAGTCTTCCCAAGATCACACAGCAAGTGAAGCAGTGGCGGGGCGATGTTCTAAACTTCACACACAAGTTCCTCAGCGATTTCTGTGCTTCAGTTATTGTAGAACTCTTGGAGACAGAGCTTCCTGACTGCCCTGGGCTATCAAATAATTAGCATAGATCTCCCTAACCAGGTGTAAGTGGAAGAGAGATGGAAGGTTATGGAAGGAGGTAGGGAGTGTTAGAGGAAAATAAAAAGGAGTGGAGACAACTGGACGGTGACGTGGCATTCAAGTTCCCTAAATGGATTCTTCAAAACTGGGGGAAGGAGAGTGGGGGATGGAGGAGAGACGAGCCAGTGGGTGGGGATGACTAGGCCTGCGACCTCAGAGCCCCACGGCTGCCCAGCACATACTCTGCCCTGTGGCTGGGGGACCTAGTAACCGCAGTGGGAGGCAAAAGCAAATAATGCTTTGTTGGTTTTGCTAAAAGAAAACAAGAGAAACACAGTTTACTCCCCGAGGCCTCAGTGCTGAACCAGCTGCTTCTGGGGGCCCCCTTGCTGGCCTGTGGTCCTCTGCCCCCTGAGGTACCTTGGGCGTTCAAGTGGAGGAAATCCAGCCTTTTTAGCTGTGGTGCCTTTTCTTCTTCTTAGAATCAACAAACAGTGCAATGCTCAGATCTTAAGTGTTCTGTTTTGACCCATGCATGTCAAGGCCTGGAACATATCTGTTGCCCCAGAAAGTTGGCTTGGGGTCCTTCCCAGTTCATCCCTGCCTCCCCCAGCCATGCTGATCTGATTTCTGTGGGCATTGCTCACATTTGACTAGCCTTGAGTTTCATACAAATGCAATCATACAGGGTGTTCTTCTCAGGTCTGCCTTCTTCTACACAACACTGTATTTTCGAGATTCATCTGCGCAGTTGCATGTTTCGGGAGATCCGTTTCCCCATCCGTAGTATTCATTGTAGTAATACAGTGAGCCTGTTTTATCTGTTCTCTGGCAATGAGCGTCTGGGTTGTTTCAGTTTCAGTTTGGCCTATAATGAAAAAAGCTGCCACGACCATTCACGTATGAGACTTTTTGGAGACATAGATTTTCATCTATGAAAATTAGGTGCATACCTGCGAGCAGAACTCATGGGTCACAGGGTGTGTGTGATGGTGCGCTGGACGGGACTGGGGCTGGCTAGCAAGGGCTCAACTCTTCCCAACACAGCTTTCACTCGGGTCATGTCGGCAGTTCAAAATCGGCCCTCATGGGAGTGTTCCTACCAGGGAGGTCAGCAAATGCCACAGATTGGGCTTGCCTTTCTTCTGGGGAGCCCAGAAGCATTAAACGCTTACCCCTATACCACTGGGTGGATGTATGTTTAACCTTTTAAGAAACTTTTCCCAAGTGGCTGTACCATTGGTTGTTTCTACCGGTGATGTAGGAGGGTTCCAATTGCTCCACATCCTCTCCAACATCTGCTGTTGTCAGTTTTTCCTCTAAGCCCTTCTGGTAGGTGTGTGTGGGGGTCTCACTGTAGTTTTAGTTTGCATTTTCCTGGTGACTGCTGATGCTGAGGGCTTTCACGTGTGTTTACTGCAGTCATCGGTATATCTTTCATAATGGTCTGTTTAGCCTCTGGTCATTTAAAAAAGTTGGGTTGTTTTTCTTTTTATTATGGAGTGGCAGGCGTTCCTTTTATATTCTGCATGTAAGCCCATTGTCAGATTTACGTTTTGAGAATATTTTCTCCTGGTTTGTGGTCTGCCTGTTTATTTTCTTCGGGGTGTAATTTTTCACGAGCAGACATTGACAATTTTGATATTATACAGTTTATCAGTGTGTTTTCTTTGTGGCTCATATTTTCCTGTGTCCTCTCTGAGCTATCCCGTGGCACGCCCTCTGCCTGAAGTGGCCTTCCCTGTTGCCTCTGTCTGGGGAACCACTCGTGTCGTCTATCATAAATAGGGTGCCCTTTCTGAACTTGAACTAGCAGCATTTCTGAACACTGTACCCCCACTTAATCCATACCACTTTGATGATGCTAAGATGTAACTGTCTCTTTATGGGTCTTTCCGACTTCCCTGATTGGAAGTCCCAAGTGGGGATCGTGGGTCTTCCGGATTGCGTTCTTATTCGTGCATTCCCTTCCTCCTCGCTCCTCTCCGTGCGCTGGCCCACAGCAGACCCACAGCGAATGCTAACTGATTGAGTGAATTAACTTGAATGAGCTCAGGACCTTGTGAGTCTTCATGGTTGACTTCTTTTCCTTTCGGTTGCGTGCTAATGGTCAAGAATACATATGGGGATAGTTTATGTTACAGAATGAACGCGCGTTTGAAAAACTCTACCAGGTTCTATCAAAGCAAGAACCATTGAGAATCCTCAGTAAGGACTCACCGAGGATCCAGTGTGATTCTGCTGGGAAAAGGTCATAGTTGGGCAGCGCTGCATTCTTGTGTGTGGCATGGGGAGGTGGGGGTAAGCAGGCATGTGCACGGAATCCAATCTGACCTGCATCTAAACTTCAGACCTGGTTAACAAAGCACTGGGCGGGTAGTTAGACAAACCTGGGGTCAAGCCCATTTGTAGCTACGTGACCTCGGGCAAGTGACTTCAGCTCTTAAATCCTCGTTTCTTTAGGTATAAACCAGGGGTAATAACAGCACAGGTCTCACTGGGGTGTTGTTGGAATTAAAGGCAATGTACGTAAGACAGCTCCGGAAATAGTGAAGTTTCCAGAACAGTTCCTGTCCCGGAGGGTTTGGACAGCCCCCCTGGAGAATGCCTGGCGTCTTCCTTGCTTTGTGGCGTTCTGGGAGCCAGAAAGCTCCCTGGGATCTCCAGCTCCAGGGCATATCTGTCCTGGGCAGTTAGATCCAGTTCTGGAGCTGATGGAGTTAGAGGGATCCTGGGGAGTCCATGCAGAAACCCAAGTGAAGCAGAATACAGAAATGCCCACCATCCCAAAGAAACGGATGTCCACCCCAGATTCCGAGGACCCACTTTTGAGGCGTTTTCCACTTGTCTGTTTTTGCATCTGTCAAACGGTCCCCTGGAGTGGGCTTATCAACACTTCCACAGTCCTTTCCCAAACAGGGAATTGTGGGAGAGGATTCCCAGGTGGGATTGGCTGCCCCCACCATACAGACTCAGGGCTAAACGGAGGACATGATGGAGAGTGTCCCCCACCCCACATGCCAGTTCCCACCGGAATCTGGAGGCAAGAACAGTGCGGCCTTCAGCTAGCCTCCCCTCCCTGAGTCCGGTACAAACCCCGCCCAGACCCGCTGGTGCTGACACCAGGGTGCCAGTCTTGTCTTTTCCAGAGGATGGCCTGAGAAAGTGGGAGTCAGCTCATGTGCATGCTGGGAGGAGCTCCCTTTAGCCTTCTTTTCTTATGGTCGCTGTCCCGCGGACCTTCAGCATCAAGGTTTGCCACGGCCGCCCGTCTTGCGCAGTGCCCGCGCCGGCCGCCCGTCTTGCGCAGTGCCCGCGCCGGTAGGTCCAGACGCCGGCCGGCCTGAAGAAGGCGGAGCGGCGGGGCGGGAGTCAGAACCTGCGGGCGGCAGCTCCGCGCTGCCTTGACTCGCGGCCAGGCCTGGCGCGGCGGCGGCTGTGGAATGTGTGAGCGCCATGTGTCACCGCCCCAGACTGTGGGAAAACGCTGCTCTGCTCACCTCCCAGCAGCTGCCCCGCGCCCGCCCGGCCAGCGGGGAAACAGGAGCCGCCCGCCGCCCAGGCCGGGCGCATTTCCCCCGATTGCCTCGGGGCCCTGGGAGGGCCTTTCCCTGGAGGGGAGCCGAGGACGATCTAGTCTCCGTCGGTTCCACCCGGCTACCCGCGGGGCATGGAGCAGCCCTCTAGGCGCAGACCCTACTCAGAGAAGGGCCTGGGGAGGGGGCGGGGAGGCTGTGGCTGGAGGGGAGGTGCGGAGGTGCTCTCCGCTGCGGGTGTCTGAGGGGCGCACCTTTCTGGTCCCCCACCAGGCGCCCCGATGTTGGGCCCAATGACCTGCGAGCTCTGAGCAGGAAACCCCACTGTGCCTACTTACCGCACATCAAAAACAGCTTCTTCCAGGGCCAGGCAGGGGATCTGGGGGTCCTTCATTTTCTCAGAGACCCACAACTCCAGCCAAGCGCCTGGTTTAAGTGGGAATCAGGTGGGCCTCAGAAATCCCCTAGACTGAAGCCTTTTAAGCCCAACCATGCTGGGGGAACCTATCCAAGGTCAGCCTGCTGGATAGCCCCAGAGTGACTTCTGAAAGCCCAGTGTAGGGGCACGTGGGTGGCTCAGTTGGTTAAGTGTCTGCCTTGGGCTCAGGTCATGATCCCAGAGTCCTGAGATCCAGTCCTCC